TCCGGGGATGTAGGATTTAAAGAGGTACCCCTACGTTTAGGGGTACATCCAGAAACGGGGGGAATTACTGTGCTGGATAAGGGGATTATGATGCTGGCTGAGGGGAGGAGATGTGTGGGAGGTTACCAGGACAGGATTGGCTACTGTATTAATGATTGTAAATCCCTCCCTTGCATGGGAGCATGCTTTATAAGGAGACTGTGGATTAAAGTTTTCAGTTCTGTGTGTCGTCCAGTTATTGGGATTGCTGTTGGGATATTGCTGTATTTTACCTGCTGGAAACCTTGCCTGTGGATCTACTATTTACTTGTTCCTGAGCCTCACTTGGATTATAAGCGGAGATAACCTGGGGAATATTGCATCTCCGCTACACACGGCCCTGGGTCCTGCTGACATATGTTTTGGCCGAGAATTCCAGCACGTGGTGCCAGGGCTGTAGCATGGGCTATATCAGTTCGCAGTTCTTGTGTTCACGGGCCGCAGCCCCCCCTTAGCATCTTGTATTTTGTTGTCAGGCCCGCCAATGGATGCGGCTCCCCAAGTCTCCCCCTGGTACCCCCACCCAAACCCCCTGGGCCAGGGGGACTCCCATGAAGGTGTCACGGAGAGTTCTGTGGCTGAGTGGCTCCTCGCACAGTACCGCGGGGGTAGCCCTGAGTATTCCCCCCCTCCATCAGAAGCCCCCCATTGCCCCTTCCCCACCTCCAAGTCCCCCCCAGCCTGTGGAGCTCTTCGGCAGTCCCTCCAACATACGGGCCGTTCTCCAACAACCCGTACTATGTGACCCCAGTACCTTATTCCCCGATGGTTTGCCACTCTCCAGGTAGGGGTTGTAGCTCGACTGAGCCCTCTAGCGTGGGCGGGAGTTTCGGCGGTGCCTGGATCCCCAGGTCAGCAAATAGAGCCAAGGCGTCTTCTCCGGGTTGCAGGATATGGGTCCTGCCGTTGTGGAAGGTGAGCAATTTGAAGGGGTATCCCCATGCATAACGCATGTTTGCAGCTCGCAGTGCCTCTGTTATTGGCCTCCATTCCCTTCGTCGTTGTAAAGTGGCCGGGGCTAGGTCTTGGAATAGAGTTAGATCGGCGCCTTGATATGTGATTGGGCCTTCTCTGCCTCTTTGCAGGAGCGCTTCTTTAGTTTGAAAATGCAGGAATCGGATTATGATGTTCCGCGAGACATTGGTATCAGGTCTCCGGGCTCGTAGGGCCCTGTGCGCTCTTTCTATGTGCCACATCTGGTCCGGCAGGCCAGGCAATAGTGGCTTGAGTATTGCGGTTACCACCTCTGCTACTGGGCCCTCCCCTGAATGCTCGGGTAGGCCTCTGAGGCGCAAGTTGTTTCGCCATGACCTGTTTGCCATATCTTCTATAGCCAACTCGGCAGCCGCCAGTCTGGCCGTCAGGCGATTCACCTGTTGAATAGCCGTGTTGTGGGCAGTTGTCGTGGCTTCCTGTCGGGTCTCCAGCCGCGTGGTCCGTTCTCCGATGGCTTGTATCTCGGTGCGCAGGACGCGTGTGGAGCGCTCTATTTCTCTCGCTAGGTATATCTTAACTTCAGATAGGGTCTGGAGGATTTGCTCCGTGTCCGCTGCCTGGGTTTGTCCCCCTGTCGCTGCTTGAGAGAGGGTATTTGCGGTTTCAATTTCCGCCGCTCCGCCATCTTGCGGGCCTGTGGATCCACCTCGTGGGGCTGCAAAATACTCCGCTACTGAGGAGCCCGATTCCGTGCCCTTCTTTGGCTGTTTTTTTGCTGGTTGTTTCTCCATGTTTCCATGCTCCGGTAAATAACCTTATTTTTCTGTTTTCAGGGATTTTTTGTGCTTTTGTTAGCTTTCTATGGTGTGGTCTGAGTGGAGCTCTAGGCAGACACGTCCAGCTTGCTCCGATTCCAGGCCACGCCCCCGTTTTATTTTATTTAACTATCATCTTATAACAGTAATATAGTATCTCACAAAAGTGAGTAAACCCTCACAGTTTTGTAAATATTTTATTATATCTTTTCATGTGACAACACTGAAGAAGTGACACACTGCTACAATGTAAAGTAGTAAGTGTACAGCCTATATAACAGTGTAAATTTGCTGTCCTGTCTAACTCAACACACAGCCATTAATGTTTACACCATTGGCAACAAAAGAGTACACCCCTAAGTGGAAATGTCCAAATTAAGCCCAATTAGCCATTTTCCCTATCCGGTGTCATGTGGCTCGTTAGTGTGAATGGAGAGCAGGTTTGTTAAATTTGGTGTTATCGATCTCACACTCGCTTATACAGATCGCTGTAAGTTCAACTTGGCACCTCATTTCAAAGAACTCTCTGAAGATCTGAAAAAGAATTGTTGCTCTACATAAAGATGGCCTAGGCCAGGGATAGGCAACCTTTGGCACTCCAGATGTTGTGGACTACATCCCCCATTATGCTCTTATACTCATAATGCTGGCAAAGCATCATGGGAGGTGTAGTACAAAATATCTGGCGTGCCGAAGGTTGCCTATGCCTGGCCTAGGCTTTAAGAAGATTGCCAAGACCCTGAAACTGAGCTGCAGCACGGTGGGCAAGACCATACAGCGTTTTCACAGGACAGGTTCCACTCAGAACAGGCCTCGCCATGGTCGACCAAAGAAGTTGAGTGCATGTGCTCAGCGTCACATCCAGAGGTTCTCTTTGGGAAATAGACGTAGGAGCATTGTTGCAGAGGTTGAAGGGGTTCGCCTGTCAGTGCTCAGACCACACGTCGCACACTGTATCAAATTGGTCTGTATGGCTGTAGTCCCAGAAGGAAGCCTCTTCTAAAGATAATGCACAAGAAAGCCCGCAAACAGTTTGATGAAGACAAGCAGACTAAGGACATGGATTACTGGAACCATGTCCTGTGGTCCTATGAGACCAACATAAACTTATTTGGTTCAGATAGTGTTAAGCGTGTGTGGCAGCAACCAGGTGAGGAGTACAAAGACAAGTGTGTCTTGCCTACAGTCAAGCATGGTCTGGGCCTGCATGAGACTGGGCTGCAGGGCAGTATTCCAACATAATGACCCTCAAACACACCTCCAAGATGACCACTGCCTTGCAAAAGAAGCTGAAGGTAAAGGTGATGGACTGGCCAAGCATGCCTCCAGACTTAAACCCTATTAATATCAAAAAATACTCTACCCTACAACCAAATAGGTGATGGGCAGAAGAGAGGTACTTAGCTTAGTACAACAAAAAAAGATTCCCAAGAGGCCTTCCCCTGTAGTGCCTGTAATATGACAGGTACTTATAAACAAAAACTCCAACAACAAATCAGATCAGTATGGAATGAAATCCACCTGGAGGATTCTCCAATCAACATTTCCAGACGAGCACCATTTAAATGGGACTCAGGGAGGTCTGCATGTTTGAATTTTTTTTTTTTTTATTCATTGCTGCTTATTTATATCTCTGAAAAAGTCCACTTTTTTCTTTTTTTTTTTTTGGACGAAACGTGTTAGAAATTTCTGCTCATTGACTCTTGCTTTTATTATAATTTTTTATATATCAGGGGATTTTGTGCCTAATATATATATATATATTATATATATTTTTTTTTTAAATTCAATCCCTGACTCCGTCCAAGTTCCTGTGCATGCTGAATATCCATTCAGATCCAAAGGTGGAGGGCGGACAATTTTAGCCCTATCTTGGGCTTTGAGGCACTTTTTTAAGTTCTATCTTATCTAGCTGTACCCAAGGTTTTTTTTAACTAAACCCTAATGAGCATCTGTGGGGCATCCTCAAATGGAAGGTGCGGGAGTGCAAGGTCTCCAACATCCACCAGCTCCGTGATGTCATCATGGAGGAGTGGAAGAGGACTCCAGTGGCAACCTGTGAAGCTCTGGTGAACTCCATGACCATGAGGGTTAAGGCAGTGCTGGAAAATAATAGTGACCACACAAAATATTGACACTTTGGGCCCAATTTGGACATTTCCACTTAGGGGTGTACTCACGTTTGTTGCCAACAGTTTAGACATTAATGGCGGTGTGTGTTATTTTGAGGGGCAGCAAATTTACATTGTTATACAAGCTGTACACTTACTTACTTTACATTGTAGCAGAGTGTAATTTCTTCACATGAAAAGAGATAATAAAATATTTCCAAAAATGTGAGGGGTGTATATAACTGTGGTAAATTTAAAATGTCATGTGTTTGTTAAATAAAATCAAAATAATATTTTACATCTGCTCGGGTGCAGGTCTAATAAACATATAGGCCAGAACGGCCCCTGACACCCTGTTCCCAGAGTGTCCATTCATGATTCAGTAAGTCCACAGCAGAAGGTGTCCTAAAGGCCAACTCACACCTCTTGGCTTCAAAAACATTGTGCAATACCTCAGTGATAGATGGAATGGTATCAGCCTTCCAACACCAAGGGAGAACTGAAGTTGCCGAAACCAAGAGATGAGTTAAATAATTTCTGTAGACTTGGACAAATTGTCTGGGAGTTTCTTCAGGAGGTGCAATTCTGGTGTAATGGTGTGTATGATTGTTGTTCCAAAAGATGTAGAATAGTGTACCTACCTGCCCACACTCCTTCCAACATGTATTAGTTTTATATAAATGTTTAAAGAGCCTGGAGGGAGTCAGGTACCATCTGAGGAGAAGTTTATAATGAGATTCCAAAAGCGCCACAGACTGTGTTATTCCCCGTAGCGCCTACCCTTCAGACGTTCTCCTCCCGGCTACTGACCAAGAGGTGGCTGCTCTTCTCTTTTCCTCTCGCCCCACCACTTGCCCGCTTGATCCTGTCCCATCTCACCTTATTAGATCTCTCTCCACTTGTCTCGTGCCTTCCTTAACGCACATCTTCAACTGCTCTCTCTCTTCTGGCATTGTCCCTGCTGACCTTTAACATGCCACTGTAGTACCTATCCTGAAAAAAACATCTCTTGACCTGTCGTTCCCCTCTAACTATCGTCCTATATCCCTGCTCCCTTTTTCATCAAAGCTTCTGGAAAGACTTGTCTTTACCCGTGTGTCTCATTTTCTCAATTCCAACTCTCTCCTTGACCCTCTTCAATCTGGCTTCTGCCCTCTCCACTCTACTGAAACCGCGCTTATCAAAGTTACTAACAACCTAATCGCAGCTAAATCCAAAGGCCACTACTCCATACTAATTCTTCTTGACCTCTTTGCTGCCTTTGACACCGTTGATCATGCTCTCCTTCTTCAAACTCTTCACTCTGTCTCTGTGACTCTGTCCTCTCGTGGTGTTCCTCTTACAGGGTATCTCAGGTAGATACAGGTTTTGAGACCATAAGAGGTCTTCGGTTTATTAAGACTATAGGTGTTCTGAGGAGCACGGTTTATAGATCTATAAGTATACCCCAAACTTATCTTTCTCCTGGTCCCCTTTGTTTGTCTTAAGTGTTCTTTGTGCGTGATTGTCTATATTGGGGACACACTTTGGTACGTTAGTAGTGTGTCCGCCCTGAGTCAGCAGTATGGGAAATGTGAGTTCAGGTCCTGAGTGACATATATATATATATATATATATACATATACATACCAGTACTGTATATTAGAAAAGAACTGACTCGCAGGTTGTACCTGATAGATCTACTTAAATCTTTTGCTTTATTCTTTCTGTCGCATAGAAGTATAAGCTTACTACTCTGTTTTATTGTAAGTTATTTCACATGGGATCTGTGTGCCTGGTATGATTGTTACTTTAATACCATAAGCCCACTACACTTTTTATGAGAGTGGGATAGTGTAAATGTGTTACATTGTTTGCATGATAAGCTCAGTATTTTTATAACTAAGACAAAAAGTCACTTCATTAGTATTTGAAAGTTAATTCCCCATATGGGATTAATTGTATAAAACACCAATCAGCACATCTTCCCTGCCCAGGGCCGTCTTTAACGCGGGGCAAACGGGGCAGCTGCCCCGGGCCCAGTTTCTCTTGGGGGGCCTGAGGCACCTGCCCCGTGGGCCCCGCTGCCCTCATCAATTAATTTTTTTCCCCCGTCCCACCGGGTGGCCCATGCACTTAGGGCAGTGGCGTACATACCAGGGTCGCGGCTGCGACCCTGGTATGCACCCACAGGGCCAGCGTCTTCCCCTGGGGGGCCCAGGAGGCGGCCACCCCAGGGCCCCCCGAGGCTGGCCCTGCTGACCCCGGCGGGCGGGTGGCCGGTCGGGCAGGAAGGCGGGCGCGCGAGGGAGCACTCAGTGCTTCCTCTTCAGCTCCCTCGCGCACCGCACTGATGATGGGTCATCTTCCGGCGCCGGGCGCGCGCGAGGGAGCTGAAGAGGAAGCAGTGAGTGCTCCCTCGCGCGCCCGCCTTCCTGCCCGACCGGCCACCTGCCCAGGGGTCAGCAGCACCACTGGACCCCAGGGAATCCCCCCAGCACTCCAAAAGGTAAGGAGGCTGGGGGGATTACATTTAAAAAAAAAATGTGTGTTTATGTGTTTGTGTGTTAGTGTATGTGTGTGTTAGTGTATGTGTGTTAGTGTGTGTTTGTGTGTTAGTGTATGTGTGTTAGTGTGTGTTTGTGTATGTGTGTTAGTGTGTGTTTGTGTGTTAGTGTGTGCTAGTGTATGTGTGTTAATGTGTGTTTGTGTGTTAGTGTGTGTGTTTGTGTGTTAGTGTCTGTGTGTCAGTATGTCTGTCTGTGTGTCAGTATGTCTGTGTGTGTTTTTGTCAGTATGTATGTCTGTCTGTGTGTCAGTATATCTGTGTGTGTGTGTTTCAGTATGTCTGTCTGTGTGTGTCAGTCTGTCTGTGCATGTCAGTATGTCTGTGTGTGTGTGTCAGTATGTCTGTGTATGTGTGTCAGTATGTCTGTGTGTGTGTGTCAGTATGTCTGTCTGTCTGTGTGTCAGTATATATGTGTGTGTGTATATCTGTTTGTGTCAGTATGTGTGTGTCAGTATGTCTGTCAGTGTGTCAGTATGTCTGTTAGTGCATGTGTATGCATGTGTCAGTATATCTGTCTGTGTGCCAGTATGTCTGTGTGTGTGTGTGTCAGTATATCAGTCTGTGTGTGTCAGTGTATGTGCCTGTGTGTGTGTGTCAGTATTTCTCAGTGTATGTTGGTGTCAGTATATCTGTCAGTGTGTGGGTGTCAGTATTTCTGTCAGTGTATGTGTGTCAGTATGTTGATCAGTGTATGTGTGTGTGTGTCAGTATGTCGGTATATGTGTCTGTGTGTCAGTATGTCTGTATATGTGCCTGTGTCAGTATGTCTGTCAGTACGTCTACCAGTGTATGTGTCTGTGTGTGTGTCAATATATGTACCTGTGTCAGTGTGTCTGTCAGTGTATGTGCCTGTTTATCTGTATGTAGTCAGTGTATGTATCTGTGTATCTGCTTGTGCGTCAGAGTGTGTACCTGTGCATCTGAGCCGCAACTTTAAATACAAATACACCCCTCCATTCAAACTTCAACACTACATATAAAACACACTCCTGCATTGAAACGTCAACACTACATACAAGCACACTCCTACATTCAAAAACAAACACTACACATAAATGCACACTTGCATTCAAACTCCAGTACCACATACAAACACATTCACACAAACATACTCCATACAAACACATGCTTACATTCAAACATACAAACATGGCTCAGTGCTAAATACAACCCTGCAAGCATGGGAAATTGGTAGAGTCCCAGCTGTCAAAGCATTGTTGGAGTTGCACGACAGATGGGGTTCTACCTTTAGTCCAACCTTGCAATTGGGGGTCCCAATAAAATTCATTCTACTTTAGTACCGCCACTGCGTTGGGATGGATGCCGTGATTGCATACGAGGGAGTGAGGGGCGAAAGCGGCAGGGCCCAGGGGGCCCAAGCAAACACTTGCCCAGGGTCCATTCGTTATTAAAGACGGCCCTGTCCCTGCCCTGTGTGTTTGTTGCAAAGGATCCATACTGTAAATATGATTTTTGTTTGTAAATAAGAGAGCAACATTTATATTTTCAGCGGTCCAACCATGCTTCATTTTGTGCTCTAAGCTAACCTTTTTATTGCTACAGGTGCTTTAAATGATCCAGTGCAATACCTACTGCATATGTTTTGTGTCTTCTATGTCTCACATTATGTGTGTTCTTTTAAATTGTGGTATATAGCCTGAATCAGAGATCATGGACAAAGGTTTCTACCTGTGTTACTAAGGCTCTTGGAGACTGACCGGTCTAAGGTTTGCCATGCCTTTTAACATGGCATAGTATAATATTTTTTTAAGTCTCTGAGAGTTCTGAAAGATTCGGGTGAAACCATGTCTGTGTAATCTGGTCCAGATGTTCGCACAATTTCTATAAGATTTAAGTTGATGCAGCGTCATCTCAGATTAGTTAATGGAAGTTTCATACAAATATTTGAGTTATGAGCGCGCTATATAAATGGATCCTTTATTTATATACAATACTATAGTAGATTAAAGTAATGAAGTTAATTAAGAAAAAACATGTATGCATAAGAATACCTAAAATAAATCTAATACAAACTAAAATTGGTATACCTTACAATAATATGTTCTGAGTACAGCTGTTAACTGTTTATTCTGTGTAAATGGTGATTGTGATAATGTGTGCAGCTTAACTGGAAAGTGGTTTAATTTATATGTTGCTGTGTTGTTTTAAATTATATTTGAATCAGTTTGTCTCAGTCTAGTGATACTGATAAAAATGCCAGTCAAATAACCTATCAAATAACTGTTTTATTAGCTGTTGAATACTAGCGTTTTGGCCAAGAATAGTTGGAGTTGGAGTAGTTCTATCAGCTCAGAGAGGCTCTGTGTTGTGGTCTGATATAGCTTTATGAGAATGGAGATTTGGAGGTGTTAGTTTAAGACTACTTTCATATTGTGTCTACCCGTGTTTCCTAGGAGGGACACAGAGTGTGTAGTTGCGTGCCCATGAATGTGTTTTCTGTATTGCCATATCTGCTGGGTATCCATTATGTGTTTCTACTATGTGTGTTTTGTGAGATGTTTGTTTTGTGAGATGACATGTAATATTACATTGGATGCTGAGTAGGAGTTATATGGTTTGAAATGAATTGGTGTGTTATGTGTTTTATGTATTTTATTGTCCATTGTGTAGGAGTTTAACTAGCAGAGTGATTTGCATATCATTAATGCAAGCATTTAGTGTTTTTACAAAAGGTGAAATGCTGTCCAACCGACTAGAATGAAACAATTCTATGCTATCGCTCCTGGAGCAAGAAAAGTGCTTGTTACATCCCACGTGAAAGGGGCCCCGCAAACTTCTGCTGTTCAAATTGTGGATTCACGTTTCCATTTTCAAATTGATTAATCCTGAAAGTCATTCTTTTACTGATAAAAAGGATTGAATGGACAAGATGTCTCTCCCTCATAAAGGAGTTCTAATAGGGGAGTATTGTCCAGCTCAGAGTTAACTCTACTTTTAAAGTATATTGCATTGTTTGTGTCAAAGTAAGATTCATCTAGTATGCCTCATTCATTATGGGGTAATAATAAAATAGTATTTTTAATAGAGATTAGACAATTTCTGAAATTTATAAGTGAGGTAATCTTAATCTCCTAAACTATTGTATTATATTTGTATGGGTAAATTTAAAGTATTTTGCAGATCCAGAAGAGGATTAATAAATAATATAATAATCTCACTAGGAGCCAAATTATGCAAAGAGGCTATCCAAAGTACGCACTAACGGGTTAAACTTGTTTTCTTGATAAGCGTATAACAGTTAGTTTTGTGGTTAGACTTTTGATACTAAATTTGAAATATGTCCCAACTACATCCTTGCACGGCACCAGGTACAGGAAGCAATATGCATTTTAAAAATTTGCAAAGTTTTAGTGTTTTCAATATATTATAACAATGGAAAAGTACCTAACCGCATGTCTGCATTAAGTTCATAACACAGACTGTCGGTATTGCAAGCCCTATATGAAGGTTATGCTTTCATTCTCGATGTGTATACCCTTAGACAACCTTGCTTTATATAATTAAACTATCCATTAAACGTTTAAAAGCTTATTAATATTATATCTGTGTGGTACACAAAGAGGGGGTGTGAGTTCGGTAATCCCGACCTGCATATGGAATATGCTTCTTCCTTGTTCACATTTGTTCCTTGTTGGTCTGTGACTGGCCCTTTTTGACCCCAAATGAATTTCTTGGGAAGATTCATGAGAAAGATACAGCAGGTTGTTTTGATAGAAAGAAAGAAGGAAAAGGTATGTTGTATCAGTCACAAGGATTGCGAACCTAAGCAGGCGAGACAAAGACATTTGGGAGGTGATAGGAGATTGAATCAGAAACGTTTTAGAGGCAGAGGTAGAGGATTTGGTCAAAGGGACTAACTTTTGTAGAGGTAGCAACTTCAGCATTGGTGGAACATACTGTTTGAATTGTGGATAGCAGGGTCACTGGAAAAATGAGTGCCCAAACCCACCCCCACAGATTCCTCAATACCAACCACAACTTCCAACCTACACCCACACCCAACAACCCCAGCCTAATACACAGATGGTTCATGTTTTTAATATTTTATATAGTTTTAGGTGTTAATCCAAGAGTATTGAATTATTCAGGTTTATTAAAGTAATTAATTTTAAGTATCAAATCAAGGTTCAAGTTTAGGAACAGAGTTTTATTGGGAATGCATATGTATATGTTAGTGTTTTAATATTCATCCAAACAAGCATTTCTATAGAGTGAGTGCTTCTCTCATCTGTACAAAGGCATTCCAAAGGGGTATTATGTAAAACTTCATAGAAGACAGATTGCATAAAATATAAGCAAATATAAGAGAAATACATTACACAAGTTAAAGCGGCACTGTCATGCCGAACTTTGCCTTATGGAGGTTTCCTCCGCTTGACCAGCTTTGACCAGCGGAGGAGCAAAGTGTGCTTCATTTCCGCTGGTCAGAGCAATTTTCCCACAATTCTTACCTTTCCTCTTAGTTCCCATGATGCTTCTTGTCATTTTAGACGAAACTGCCAAATTGCGTTCTAACTGAATGAGAACAGTATGTTCGTTTGTTTTAGAATGCAATTCGGCACTTTGTTCGGATCACAATTTCATTCGAATGAATGAAACTCCGATCCTGTTCGTGCTGTGGCTGCATCTTGCAGCCGCTAAGTAGATAACTCCCTAATTCCCACGGTATCAGGGAGTTATCTACTAAAAGGCTGAAAGACCTAAATTGGTCTTTCAGCAACATTTACTAATACTAAGTAAAGATTAAAGCGTCACTTTCCCATGCTGTGTAAAATGACACAGAGCACTGTGATTGGATGGCTTGAAATCCATCCAATCACAGTGCTCTGTGTCACTTTACACAGCGTGGGAAAGTTCTTTGGAATTTTCCCACGCTGTGTAAAATGACAGAGTACTCTGATTGGCTTACACCCACCAATCAGAGTGTTATTAGCCTAATTGCAGGGCAGGGCAAGGCTTTAGAAGAAGATGGATTATTTTGCGCTCGGGTTTTTTCTTTTTTGTCAGGTTTTTTTTTTTGCGCTCGGGTTTTTATTTTATTTTAAGTTCGACGGGTATGATGGTTTTTTATTTGGCCTTTTTTGGGGCTGAAAAATGAAGATTTTAGAAAAAAGAAGACGTCGAATGGTAAGTTTAATTTTACTTTACAGGTTAGTAATTTTATTCCCCCTCACTATTTTTTAGGGTGAGGGGGGTAGGTAGGGACTTTTTATTTCGGTCGGGTGGTGGGTGACTAGGGGCTTGGGGACCCCTAGTCACCTTTGATGGGGGGGAAATTGACCTAGGGCCCCCACCCGCTGCCCAGGGGTGGGGGCCGGGGGGAGGACAGTAGGCCCCCCTCATCATCACTATGGCCCCCACCCGCCACCCAGGGGTGGGGGCTGAGGGGGGAGGACAGTAGGTCCCCGTCCCCCCCATTGTAATTTATGGCCCCCACCCGCCGCACAGGGGTGAGGGCAGGATATTAGTTTTTTTTGTTTTTTTTTTACAGTGAGGAGCCACAGGCTGCTCACTGTTTAGTGGACATGCCCCTACCTGCGGTATAGCGAGTAAGGGCATTGGGGAGATTTTAATCTCCCTTATGCTGTTATGGTGGTCACATTGACCCCCATAGAGTGAGGGAGGACCTGGGGGGCTTATGAAGTGGCGGGGAGCACTGCTTCCTGATGCTTCTATCTTTACATATTACAAGGAGGGAGCTGCATGCCGGTAGCTCCCTCCTTGTAATAAACTGAACGAACAAACAAACACTGATACACAGTGTTAGTTTGTTTGTCTGACATTTCTATTCATTTATTCGGTTTCTGATGAATGAATAAATAGATAAAATTCCCGTTCGCATGTCCAAGTGTTTCACTGGGCATGTGCGGGAATCTCACAGTCTATGTAGTGTGGGCAGGTGACGTGTCCCACAGGGACTTCATCTACCATCACAAAGATGGCGGTGCCCTGAATAAAGATCGGGGCAGAAAATAAGGAATAAAAAATAGGTAATCTGGGGGGCTTAGGGTCATTTGGGGGTGACTAAGGGGTCAGTTAGATGTAGTGGAGGGGGGTTAAAAAAAAAAATGGGATTCGGCATGACAGTGCCGCTTTAAGGGTTTAACCTTAATCTCTAATTTAAATTTTAGCCTAGGCAATTAATTAATTGATGTTGTATTGATCCTTGTGTTTGTATGATTGTAGAGACCGTCCTGAAGTGTTTGTGCCTCCTGATTTCTAGGACTACACACCAATCTCTCTGGCTGACCATGCAATAAGTATTTTGCAATTACATCTGTTTGGTCATTATCCATGCAGGCCGAAGAAACTGAGATACTTATGAGGACATAAACTTTGCACGCAAGAACCTGGAAAGTCCTGTAGGTGCAGTGCTGTCTAATACCACTGGTTCTGTAATAACCCTTTCAACCATTGGGGTGTTGCACAGAGCATTGTGGTGAAAATCCAGCAAACAAAAAAACTATGTGGAAGCTGACATTGTCTTGTTGTCAGCCATATTGCTACCCTTAGCCATTTAATTGAACAAAATGTCTGGTGTTTAAACTGATTTCTTTATACTCTGTGAAAACTTATTCTATTTTTCTGAACTATGCTGAACTATTGAACTATTTCTATTTTTGTAGAGTTAGCCGGAGAGAGAGGAAGTGTTAGCTGACCCAGGGATGGATGTACTATGTGTGTTTTTGATATATGTTGAGTGTGTCAAGGATGGATTCCCATGTTTTGAGGAACTGTGTGAGGATATGACTGGTTTTGACTGGACCTTTGGAATAGGGAAATGGTTAAAAGATATAGGACGCAAGGTCCTGGTTGTGATTATTGTCAGAATTTCAAACTAGATTATAATTTATCTCATGAATTAATATGTAAGAAGTGTTTCCCAATTCCTCCCGATACCCTAGCTATGTCCTCACAGGTGCGGGTATTATAAGTCACAAGTGGTGTCAACTGTGAGGGGATGACATGTCTAACACGATTGCGGCCCCCACTCAGGTTTTCCCCAGATGTGCTTTTTCCTCAAATATGAGTTTTTGCCACTGGTTTTTTGCCTGGCCCCAGATTATCGGGTGGACTGGTAATCCTAGAACCCGGTCCTTGGACGGGGGGATAGGTATTATTCCCACTTTGACTATATGCGCTCACTTCCATGGACGAAGGAGGAAAACAACTGTTGGGAATAATACACTTTGCCCATATTTACCCAGGGCTTATGATACAGATGACTGGCTGGTTAGTCTGTGTAAAATTGGTTAACATGTCAGCTATTTGCAATAATATATTTGCTATAAGCCCAAGTTCCATTTTGTCTTAAACATCCATTTTCTATATATCTGTCTGCAAAAGTATTAAGTGTCTTTTTTCCTGCTGAGTTTCTGTTTCTTGTAGACCACATGATTGCTTAGTGGAAATGTGGAAATCTATGTTTCTATACGAGACAGGGGGGATATGATAGAAACATTTAAATATATAAAGGGAATCAACACAGTAAAGGAGGAGACTATATTTAAAAGAAGAAAAACTACCACAACAAGAGGACATAGTCTTAAATTAGAGGGACAAAGGTTTAAAAATAATATCAGGAAGTATTACTTTACTGAGAGGGTAGTGGATGCATGGAATAGCCTTCCAGCTGAAGTGGTAGAGGTTAACACAGTAAAGGAGTTTAAGCATGCGTGGGATAGGCATAAGGCTATCCTAACTATAAGATAAGGCTAGGGACTAATGAAAGTATTTAGAAAATTGGGCAGACTAGATGGGCCGAATGGCTCTTATCTGCCGTCACATTCTATGTTTCTATGTTTCTATGAAATTTCTCTGTTCTGGGAGAATGTTAACCGATAATATGAGCAAGTTTTTTGCTCAAAGAGGGGGATGTAAGAATATGAAGTAGTTAACTTTTCTTGTTCATATGTATTTTATGCTTAGATGAGGTTTATAATCATTAGTGCTGACTGTAAGGATATGAAATAGTTAAACTCTTTTTGCTTTATATGCTTTAAAATAATGATTGAAATAATTATGCTGACTTTGGCAGATGTGTTTTGTACCAAGGTCTTCCTTCTAGAGGATGTGCGACCTTGCTCGATCTCAGGATGTTCCTGTCCCGTCTTTATTCAAATGCTTATCTTTTAATGTCAGACATGTATGTACTATTAACTATAAGGAAGAGATAAATCTCGCTGCTTGTGTGACAAACTGTGTATAAATGCTAGCCCTGAAAATATACTCATTGAGAATCTTGTTAAAGCACATTTGTGGTGTCCGTGTCTTTATTGCTAACAATGATTCTCCATCAATATTGATTATGGTGACCGGAGAATTGAGAATCGAGGGGAGTTGAGTCCAGAACAGCATTAACCCTTTCAACACCCAGATATATCGCTCCTCCCTGGACCTCTCTCCTGCCGTCCTGCAACGTGTCACTGCTTGCCTTTCTTCCATCTCTGACTGGATGTCCTCCCGCTTTCTGAAACTCAATCTCTCCAAAACTGTGCTCCTTGTCTTTCCTCCTCCTTATACTGATCCTCCTTTTTCGCTCTCCCTTCAAGTTTGTGGTACCCATATGAGTCCATCCTTGCAAGCATGCTGTCTTTGCGTCATACTTGATTCTGGCCTCACGTTTGAGCCTCACATCCAGTATGTTGCCAAATCCTGTAGATTCCAACTTAAAAACATAGCCCGCATCTGCCCCTTTCTTATGCAAGATGCTACCAAAGAGCTTGTCCATGCTCTAGTAATTTCCCGCATGGATTATTGTAACCCTCTCCTAATTGGTCTTCCCAAAAGCCATACTGCACCGCTACAGTCCATAATGAACGCTGCTGCCAGACTGATTTTCCTCTCTAGTCAGTTCTCTCACACCTCACCCCTGTCACATCATGCCTTGTTCTGCGGATCAGTCTGGTGATGGCTTCTGGTATCCAGTACTCTTTTTACAATCCTTGCTTAGTTTTTCTTGGTTTTTCTGGTTTTCTATTCCATGTCTGGTTTTCCTTATGCTGGGTTTTCTGGGTTCATTCCATTATTCCGTCCTTGGAATTCCCAGTCTCCTGTATTCATTTATATGTTTGTTTTATGTTGCCACACCCGTTTGTTTTCCATTTTCCTTTTGTTTCAGTCTGGACCTGCAGCAGTGTTTCAAGTCTCTGCCCTTTCTTGCAGGTAAGTGCTGTTGTGGTTTAGTATGGTTCTTTTAGCGAACATTAGGCAGTGTAGTACCTGCCGAATATGGGATACATTGGCGTTTTGGCAGGCTTATGCAATGTATGATCATATAATGAAACTAAATCCCCATACTTTTCATAAATAGTGCCTAGTTATGTCTCCTCTTGTTTTGCCTATTATATCTTGTCTTGTTTTAGTTTGTATACCCAGTCCATGTACAGTCCTGTCCTGTCCTGCCCCTGTTTAGTTAATGTTCCCATATGTATTGTGTACATGTTCTGGGTTTAGCTTCCTATCCTTCTCTGGTTCTGGTTTCTACTAGTTTTGTCTTTTTTTCATGTTTGGTGCCTGTTCTAGCCTTGCCTTGTTTCTGTATTGGAAACATGTCTGCTGCAGAGCCCCCCTATCCAATTCTTGGTAGGTCTGCATTCAAGCTCCTAGTTCCTGGGATCCGCTGTAGCTGCATCAGGGTTCTGGTATGTGGCCGCGTAAACGCTGGTGCTCAACGCCAGAGGACGTGTGGTTACCCTGCACCAGGCCCTGATAGTCCATTACCATGCTGAAGACTCCCACTTCTAATCAGGCACTCAGGGGTCCCGGTTTCTGTACCGCCACCCGTGACAACCCCTCTGTCAGGCCTTACATTGGCTTCCTGAATGCTATAGGAGTCAATTCAAGGTACTAATACACACCTATAAAGCAATGAACAACTCTAGCCCCTCTTATATCTCCTCACAGATCCATAGGTATGTCCCTTCTCGGCCTCTCCGCTCTGCCCATGACCACCTCCTGTCCGTTGTTCGCACCCGTACGGCCAACTCACGCTTGCAGGACTTCTCACGGGCGGCTCCCTTCCTATGGAATAGCCTGCCTACCGACATCAGACTCTTCCCTTAGTTTTGCATCTTTTAAGAAGTGCCTTAAAACCCATCTCTTTAGGAAAGCTTATGTCCTGCCAGACTAACCTCTACCTCACATACCTGTCTCTTGCTCTCTCCTAAAGGGACCTTATTTGATTGCAAATTCCTGTCCTATTGTGTTTTACACCCCACCTCCTATAGAATGTAAGCTTGTTTGAGCAGGGTCCTCTCCAACCTCTCGTTCCTGTAAGTTCTTTGTAATTGTCCTATTTATAGTTAAATCCCACCTTCCAAAATATTGTAAAGCGCTACAGAATCTGTTGGCGCTATATAAATGCAGATAATAATAATAATAATAATAATAGAAGCCCATGCCACTTCTTGTTCAGTTCCCTTTCCCATCCTGTTGCATGGCACATAGAGAGTGCCTTTCCGACCTGGATCCAAGAGATAAATCTTTTCTAGAGTAGACATGTCAGTTTTGCACTTCTCCAGGACCCGATCTGAAACTTTAAAATGTTCACTAATTAAATCAACCATCTGTCTAAGTATATAGCTATGGACCAGGTAATAGAAGGGTTTATTTCTTTTATATAACACATCTCAAGCCTTAGTAGTGGCTTTGGTAGTTGGAAACCACTCCTGCCAAGCAGGAGGCAACCATAACACATATGATTAGGTACATTTTTTTGTAGCCTCCATCTCGAGCCACAGGGGAAGTGTCATAGTTGCAGTATAATTTCTAAAATCTGCCCAACCCATACCTCCACTAGCTTTTGAAATATAGCCAATTTAATCCTGCTTGGTTTCTTCTTCCATATGAATGTCAGTAAGGCAGAATTAACTTTCCAAAAAAAGAGGAAGGAATGGTTAAGGGAATCTCTCTTAAAAAAAATAAATAAATAAATAACATTTTGGGAGTCATCTTGACCGAGTTAATCCTTCCAAACCAGGAAATTTCAAGACTACACCACCTCTCAATATTTTTTACTCTTATGTCACTCCTTCTGATTTACCTATTGTGATGTCATGCATATATAATTATGCAAATTTGCATGGTCGATATTTTTTTTTTCTCAGAAAAGTGGCAACCCTAAGCTTGTGTGTATGTATGTATATATGTATGTATGTGTGTGTGTGTATACACTATCTCTATATCTATATATCTTTGTACAACATGTAACCCCTTAAGGACCGGACTGTTTTGGCCAAGTTGTACGTTAAGGACCAGGGCTGTTTTAACACTTTTGTGGTTTTTGTGTTTAGCTGTAATTTTCCTCTCTTATTTACTATTCCAATACAAATTCTATATTTTTTTTTTTCAGGACAAGAAAAAAACTGCTAAATTAAACATTTTGTCCGGAGTTTAAAAATACCCAGTGCTTACATGCTTTTTTTGCAAGTTATAGGGCTATAAGTACAAGTAGGAAATTGCTGTTTCAAAATTAAGGAAAATTTATCCATACTTACTGTACTTTTCTTTTCCTGGCTATTATTCATAGCTTTTACTTTGAAATCAACTTAACACAGAACACAGCATCTAACAGCAGCACAGCGTAAAACAATAAAAACTTTGGCTGACAGTCATAGGCAAGATATCCTATTATATTGCAATTTTACAACTACAATAATTCTCCTACCAGATCATTCGCCATTCCTATATCCATCCAATAAGAATAATTCTAACCAGGTTTTATGTTTGCAGAATTTTAATTTTCCTAATTAAGATTCACTGTCCTTAATTTCAGAACAAGTCAATTTTTATAACCATATATTCCTTAGTTAATTATGATTTCTAATAAGTGAAATCTGACCAACATTTATCCAGATATATATTCCTGCTATTAGTAAAAATAATTTAATTAAATAAAACCAGCATAATTACCAGTTAGATTGTAGATTTTCTATCAGATGTGTAGATATGTCCCAGGAATTTTTAATGCAAGTATGATGAGTAATATAGATGTTAAGTGAGTCTTGAGTTTGTCTAAGAGTCAGTCCAAGATAGATCCCTCTCTCCTTTGTCCTTAATTTTTAAAGGACCAGTTCCCTATACGTCACTAGTTAATAGTAACCAATAGTAAACTGTGGACGTGTCTTCCCTACAGACTATCATCTAGATTTTGGTCAGTAGATGGCGCAATTACATCACCAAAAAAGTCTTGTCAGGGGGTCCATTTACCTTTTTGTATAATGGATTAACTGAATTTTGTGATGTGTTTGACGTCATCTGGTTATCTTTTTATGGCTACTATTCGTCAAAGAAGCTTTTATCTTCAAAGCGTTTTCTTTGGTTTCAGCCAGACTTGGTGTCTATCGTATACCTTTAAATTTAAATTTAGATTCCTGACACGTCCTAACCTTAATTTCACCCTTCCTTACAATGGGACTTTGTAAAATTAATTAGTGTTATCTGTCATTTGGTGTCTGGTTTTCTTGTGTGAAGCTATATAGTTAGTATTATTTATACATGTCTATTACACATATTCCACTAACTTTAGTAAATATGACATTTCTTCATTATATCCTGATATTATATCCATGAATATTCTATATTATTAACATAGTACTATTTATATATGATTAATATACTTTTAGTAAGTTATAAGTGGATATTTTGTGTGTGTGTGTATGTGTGTGTATATATGTGTATGTATGTATGTATATATATATATGTATGTGTGTGTGTGTATATATATATATATATATATATATATTATTGTGTTTGTCTCTGGGTTGTAGCATTCAACCCCCTTTTGCTGTAGACATCATGTCTTATCTAAGGTTTTATCTCTGCCGTTTACATAAGTCGCATTCCTTAGCTCAGACTTGAAGGAATAGTTGCAGAGAGAAAAATTTAGTGTCTGCCTTAGCATTGTAATACAAAATGGAGTCACCTCTGTTCTGGTGGTGACTTACAGTATACACTTTTAATTTATGTCTTAACACAAAATGTCTGCCAGTATAAATATACTGACAGCCTTAAAAAAATGAATCAACAATGG